TCGTAACTGATAGCTCACTAGGGCAGCGCTATCTACGGCCATGAGCTCATTAAGCCCACAGCTAAGCATCATGGCTGAAATCTACTCGGCTTCATCGGGTAACCTGGTTAGCGATAACAGCCTGAATGCAGCATTTAGCATGAGGCCACTTCCCCATGCTTGTGGTCCGATAATGCGGGGGGATGAGAAGAGTACTCGTTGATTATCATATATGAATGTCAAAGATGCTTGACTGTGTCTTCGGATTGTCTTCAACACATTGTTTCCAGATTGGATGATAAAATGGTCCGGTTTGGCTTCGCCCTTTCAGTATCGGGCCTCTTACTGCCCCTGGCAGCGGCCGAGGATGGGTTCGCTGGCTGGTTACGGTTCGCTCCGGTACCCTGTGATTCTTCTTGCTTGCAGGGTCTACCTTCACATCTTACTCTGTTCAATGGCACCGACGGAAGCCCAATTGGAACAGCGGGCGTTGAGTTGAAGTCCGGATTCCAGTCGATCTTCTCTAAAGATCTGACAGCCACGCAATCACGCTGTGACGCATCATCCTCAATCTTGGTTGCGACACTTGAGGAATTCCGGCATAAATGCAACGCCACTACTGGCATTCCCGAACTCGATCAGGATGGGTTCTGGTTGCGATCGACTGGCAAATCTGTCCAAATCTTAGGACAGAGCGAGCGAGGGGCATTATATGGAGCATACGAGTACCTTTCCCTGATAGCCCAGGGAAACTTCTCCCATGCTACTTATACAGGCAACCCTCATGCGCCGATACGTTGGGTCAATCAGTGGGATAACATGGATGGCTCGATTGAGAGAGGTTTCGGTGGATCGTCGATTTTCTTTAAGAACGGTCGGGTCGTCGATGACCTGGCACCAGTTAAGCAATATGCTCGCCTCCTTGCGTCGACTCGGATCAACGGCTTGATCGTCAATAACGTCAATGCGAATGCAACTCTACTTTCGTCTGAAAATATCAAGGGACTTGCTCGGATTGCAGATGTATGTCGACCTTACGGTGTGCAGATCGGCGTTTCGCTCAACTTCGCATCTCCCGAGACATTAGGCGGCTTAGACACCTTCGATCCGCTTGATGCAAATGTTGTTGCCTGGTGGAACAATATCACAAACAGCTTATATGATCATGTTCCCGATCTGGCAGGGTATCTAGTCAAGGCTGACTCCGAAGGTCAGCCAGGCCCCAACACATATAATCGGACGTTGTCGCAAGGTGCAAATCTTTTCGCACGAGCTCTTCAGCCGCACGGGGGCATTCTTATGTACCGGGCGTTTGTCTACGACAGTAACTTGAATGAGTCAGATTGGAAGGCAGACCGAGCCAAGGCGGCAGTTCAGTACTTCAAAGATCTAGATGGCGAGTTCGAGGAGAATGTGGTTGTGCAAATCAAATACGGGCCCATTGATTTTCAGGTACGCGAGCCCGTATCGCCCCTTTTCGCCAACCTCTTCAAGACCAATACTGCGATTGAGCTTCAGGTCAGCCAGGAGTATCTGGGTCAGCAGAATCACCTCGTCTACCTTCCTCCTCTGTGGAAAACTATTCTCGACTTCGACCTTCGAGTTGACCACAAACCCTCCCGGGTCCGAGACATTATATCCGGAGATCGATTCAATCGTACCCTTAGCGGCTGGGCGGCTGTCGTGAATGTTGGTACCAATACGACATGGCTAGGTAGCCACATTGCCATGTCAAATCTATACGCATATGGTCGACTTGCATGGAGTCCGACCGATGATTCGGAGCGCATCTTGCAAGACTGGATCCGGCTTACTTTCGGCGCACACCCTGAGGTTATCAATACCATTACCAACATTTCCATGGCCTCTTGGCCCGCCTACGAGAACTACAGTGGAAATCTAGGCATCCAGACCCTGACTGACATCCTCTACACGCACTACGGCCCAAGCCCCGCCTCCCAAGACAACAACGGATGGGGTCAGTGGACTCGAGCAGACCACGAGTCCGTGGGGATGGATCGAACCGTGGGAAACGGAACCGGATACACAGGTCAATATCCTACCGAGATTGCCCAACGATATGAGTACCTCAATTCCACTCCCGATGATCTGGTTCTCTGGTTCCACCACGTCCCCTGGACGCATCGACTCCACTCCGGCAAGACCGTCATCCAGCACTTTTACGATGCCCACCATGCCGGTGCGGAAACTGCGCAGACCTTTGTCACACAATGGAAATCTCTACACGATCTGATTGACAAGGAAAGATACGACGCGGTACTCGATCGACTCATATACCAAGCTGGGCACTCCATCGTCTGGCGAGATGCGATCAACAACTTCTATTTCAACCTTACGGACATCTCTGACCAGAAGGGACGGGTGAGCCATCATCCTTGGCGTATCGAGGCGGAGAGCATGAAGCTGGACGGATACAGACCGTACACGGTCAGTCCGTTCGAGACGGCCTCGAATGCAACGGCCATTGTGACCACGTCGAACTCAACAACCGGGACAGCAAAGACTATGCTCAGCTTTCCATCGGGGACGTACGACATAGGCGTCAACTATTATGACCTATATGGTGGCGAGTCGCACTGGACACTGAGTCTCAATAATAAAGTCGTGGGCGAATGGGTCGGCAATTTCCGCAACCACTCGCTGGGCAATTCTGTCTCCATCTACTTGGACGGCCACTCGGCGACACGGGTCACGTTTCGAGGCGTCGAGATCCAGACGGGGGATGAGTTGAAGATCGTCGGCCGGCCGGATGGCGTTGAGCCTGCGCCAGTGGATTACGTGGTGATACTTCCCGCTGGAGTGGTGGACTAGGTGGGAATGTACATACGTTGATGCTCCTCACTCCCACAGCGTAGAAGATCAATTGTACAGACGCTCTTCTCACTCGCGTGCCATTTCCAAACCCCTCTAGTACGACCCGGACCTCCAAAATCCCACCTTCCTCACATAGCTAAAAAGAAAATGTGTGAAAAACAATCATATCAATTCGCTTCATAAATCAAACTTTCCTACTACAAGCTACTTATTTGGCATCCGCGATCTTCTTCCAGCTCTCGCGGGCCTTCAGCTCCTCCCACCACTTCTGGGTGTGGGGGTACTTGGGCAGGAGCTCGGCGAAGCCGAACGGCTCGACGAAGGCCCCGTACGGGAGGTGGTACAGATCCGCCAAGGTGACGTTGTCGCCGGCCAGGTACTTCTGCTTGGAGAGGATGCGCTCGTAGCCCTGCAGGGCGGCGTCCAGCTGGGCGACCAGCGCCTGCACGCGGCCCTCATCGGTCTGGCCCAGACCCTTGAACGCCTTGAAGACCTTCTCGAAGGCGATACCGGACACGGCGGGGTCGAAGTAGGATTGTTCGACGGAGAGAGCCTGTGTAGGAATGTATGGGTTAGGAATTGACTGAAATTGTGTTCCGGGGGGGGGGAAGGTAGGGGCGAGGAGCGTACCTGCTGGTACAGAGCGAAGGCCTTTAGGTCCGACTCAGGCGGGGAGACTTCGTTGCCCTGGCCGCGGTACTTGGAGGCGATGTATTGGCCGATGGCTCTGCTTTCTGCAGTGGGGGAGAGAGAGGATGGTTAGAGCTGGCGGTGCGGGAGGCTGGGAGCGGAGCAAACGTACCGAAGATCTTCACGCCGGTCTCGGTGTCCTCCAGCGCGGGGACCTTGCCGAAGGGCTGGAGGTTGGCGAGGTAGGCCTCGGACTTGTGCTCGCCCTTGGCGAAGTCGATAGGGACGAACTCGTGGTCGACGCCCTTCTCGTTGAGGACCACCTGCACCCGCTTGGTGCAGGTCGACATGGCGAGGCCGTGAAGCTTGAGGACCATTTTGGCGGTTGTGGAGAGAAAATTGGAGCTGGTGGATAAGGGAGATCGAGATGAGAGGAGAGTGACAGTTGTAGTGAGCGAGAAGTGAGAGACCAGGACGAGTACACGTAAGGTATATATGCGTAGAGACGAGCAATGGCGGGGTCGAATGGATGCAATCAATGCAATCAATGCAATCATGGGTGGGGCCTGAAAACTGGGGCCCGCTTACGAGATTCCAGGGGGAGAGCGCGGAATTTCTTCCGCGTCCGCCGAATAAGCATTAGCAATCATCCTTTCTGATCACAAATCCGCTTTCACTTGGAAGCGGCAAGAATTGTTGTCTCAGATGGGGAGATGGGGATCTTGCTGTGGCATACAAGGTACTCTGTACCGAAGTATATAATTTGTGCAAAGAAGGGTTCACAGCGCTAGCGGGCTAAGTTTGCAGGATTGCATTACTGTTATCTGGCATGAACTGGCATGGTTGCAACAATCAGGGTGAAATGAGCCAATTTGGAGCCAATCATGGTGCATAAAGTGAAGCAGCAGTCGTGATAAGCTCTGGCTAGATCGGGACAAGCATATGGATTTCCCCTGGATCCAGAATCAAATGGACAAATGAGCATTGTTCGGGAGTCGGCTGGGAGATAGAGGTTGCCACTGGCGCTGGCTGATGCATCTTGTCAGTTTACTTGTACACTGGGCCTGTCAACGGATGTAGAGAAAATAGCAGTAAGGCACTTACCACGGAGATCATGCCTACTATGCCTACGAGTATGATGGCGATGTTTGCAGGTTTTTCTCAGCTGACAAGCTCCGCTGCCTCGAAACACTTGTTGGCTCAGAATTGTAGTCTTCTGCTGCTGGACGAAAGGAATAGTTTAAAAACCTACTGACTTGAACACGCATGGTTCATCCAACTGCAATCGACTACCCTGAATACCGATCATATTTCTCCTCGCATCTTCTGATCTTTTACCTCAGTATCTTTCAGGTTTTATCCTCCTGTCACCGTGCGTCGTCAGACACAACACATACTCGTTGACTATAGTCAGTCATTTTCTGATACCAAAGCTTTGAGTGGTTTGCGACATTCTGGAAACTGCCAAATAGTGCTTCTGCTTCTTACCCTCCCACCAAGTTACTGATCCCGGTGGGCTCAGATCAACAATTCTAAACTTCTAGGCTTCCATTACGATGGAGGATCTCAGCTCCAGTCCGAACCTTCATCCTACCGAGCCAACCAACTCATCGTCGTCACCTTCACCACTTCCAATTCTTACCAAGGAAACGGTCCAAGAAAATCCTACGACTACATGCAAACCGCAAGGGAAGTCCCGATACCCGTCACTCGAGGCGAATCCGGATACAGCCGCCAAGCTGAAGCGTTTCGCGCAGCGGCAGTTCATAGCAGGCTTCGACAATACACGAGTCGAGTGGCCGGTGAAAGGGGCATTCCCGGAGATCGAATCTGGTCATCCTTACAAGCAAGCAGTCGAGCGGGTCCGCAAATTCTACGGGATCTGGAAGAGTCACGGTCTGAAGCATGCACCCAAATGCTACGAGCGCTGGGTGTTGTCCCAGCCAGAGAACGAGCGAGAGAGACTCGCACAATGCACAGATTTCAAGGAGCTACGTTGTGCCCTGAGTGCCGCATACGATGTAGAATGGGCTTCGTACATCTTCTCTTGGGCTACGAGTGTCGTCTCGTTTCAAGACTGCTCTTCACTGGGGCAAGAATTCCTAAAGTGTAAGTCAGGTACTACATACTGTCTTGAGAAGACTGCGCTCATTCATATAGACTGTACCATACAGCTTATGGTCCGTGCTCACTTAACTGCTCTCCGTCAAAAGTCATCAAGTCCTTCTCCGGAGCTGGCAAAGTTCGACCGTCGGTATTTACTCGCGTCATTCGATGGTCTCCACACCCACGAGAAATGGAGGAACTTGACTGTGGAGGACTTCCCATTTCGATCTGTGCCAGCTCTGCGGAAGCGAGCATGCCTGAGGCGAGTTGATATGAATGCTGACAGTGATGGCGATGTTGAGATCGAGGGAGAACAGCCTAGGACGAAGGCGCCCGCACACCGTTCTCCGGATTAGGTCCGTTGGACGTCCACGGGCCTACTCGTGAGCTATCTGTATCGGTGGTTTTGAGGGCTTGAATGACCTTTACCAAGGGACATTACAAAGACTTTGGGTATAGCATAGCGGATACTTACTATGCTGACATTCAGGACGGATCTGAAGTAAGGCGCAGGACAGAAGGGCAGATTGACATATTGCTCACTTTTCTGGCCGCACCATTACCAATAGTAGTCTAAGCTTCTACTTATGCCATTAACAACTTGATCTCATTTTGCTTTTGCTTCTGGATCAGAAAAACTTAATTTAAGGCATGAGCTTCATCTCAGAGTGTACTTCATTAGGAATCATCATTACTTTTGCAAGGAGGTTTCTCAAGTCTGAATGTAAGAGCTCTGCTGATGCATTAACGTAATCGGTAAGCGAGCGGGCAGTGTAAGCGAGCGGGCAGCCGTGCGCGTCAACGCGGACTTCCATGAAAAGATGAAGCAATTATTATCCACTATATACATAAAATTTCGTGTTTACATGGTGTTTTAACGTGTAGGGCATCTTGTTCTTGTATGGCCAAGTGTATTACACTCGCTGCAGCGAGGTGGTGCCCGGCGGCGAGGCTGTTCATCACCCGCAGCCGTTTCCACCGGTTGGATGCCATTTGCTTGATCAGCCTCGCAAGCCTGTGTAAACGCGTTTATAGCCTCGCCAACGGTGAGGCTATTAAGGCCTGCCATTTGGCGATATGACCTCTTCTTTTTAGTGTTTTGCCTCTCCAGCCCAGCTTGTAATTCATTAATTTCCTCTTCAAGCAAGGCAGTCCGGTTGAAGGCGATCTCGCAGCCCTTTACAATATAGGCCAAGGCTGCTTTCATTTGCGAGGAAGGACTAATTGTGCGTTTACAAAGATGTCTTTTAATTGTTGTTTCATGCTTCTTCAACTGCCTCGTATTCTTAGGCGTTTTTGGCAGTGTTGATGTAGTGGTGACGCTGTTTGTTGGAGTAGCCTTTTGTAGTTGTAAAACAAGCTGGCCAAGCACCTCGTCTGGCTGGAACGGAACCAATCCTGAAGCCTTAAAGGCACTTTGTATAGTTGAAGCCTTAAAGGCAAGAGAACGTGCCTCTGGGTATATATCCAAAAAATCAACCTTATTAATATGATGGGCGCCTTGGCGAGTTAGCCGTTCCACTAAGCCGCCATAGGCTCGTTTTAACGGCGCGAAGCAAGCTATATTAAGCGGCTGACAAAGATGCGAAGAATGCAGAGGCATGCAGATAGGAATAACGCTATTTTGACTGCAGATATTATTAAATTCCGGAGTTAAATAAGAATTATGCCTATTAAGAATCAAAAGGCTATATCGCCCAGTCCGCCGGTTCTTAGTAGCCGGAATAAAGTGTTCACGAAGCCAATGTAATCCAATTTCATTGGAAGTCCAGCCGTTTGGCGATAAGTTGATACGCTAATTATATGGAACACGGCCTTGAAGCCAGGCCTCAATATAGACCTTTTCTTTAAGAATCACGTACGGAGTCAACACGGCACCGGCGGCGTTGATACACTCAATTGAAGTCACCCATTCGCGATTACCAGGCTGGATAAGAAACGGCTTACCTATACAGTTAGATTGTGTAATTACACAAGCTGTAGCCACCATACCCATAGCAAAGCCTGTTTCATTAAAATTCCAGATATTTTTATTAAGAATGCTGTATTCTGCCTTTACGGCTTCAACCCGGGCAAACCACTTACTAAGGATCTTTGGATCCTCGCATTTTGCACGTTTATAGTGTAGTCTTCGAGAAAATCGTTTTTTTAAAGCTTCATTGCGGTTTACAAAGTTGTATACCCATTTCTCGCCCACGGAGGCTGCAGAATTCGAGTCACGTCTTTGGAGAAGAATATTAGCCATTTTCCGAACATGTAACGGCCGAGGATGAAGCCCACGCTTTACAAGCGAGAAGATCCAATTCTTTAAAGCCTCCTCTTTATGAAGAGTCAGTTTATGAGAGTTGGCACGTGTATTGCAGCGAGATTGAACTCCTTGCAGGCGTTGTTGGAGAGTTGTTCGTGAAATGTTAAAAACACGCGCAGCTTCGGCTACAAGCGGAATTTTGCCCTTTCGAATAGCTTTAATAGCAAGGCAGATTCGGCCTTCTTGTTCCACCAAAGCTTTTGACGATCGAGGCATTTTTGGTGGAATTATTGGTGGTTGAATTGCTTCAAGTTGAAGAACGCGAAACTGACGCGCACGGCTGCCCGCTTGCTTACACTGCCCGCTCGCTTACCGATTACGTTACCCCGCTGAATTGGTAAGCGGGAATCTCTTGCCAGCGTGCTTAGCGCATCCTAAATTGCTTATCGCTCGATCGAGCCACCAAAGACACTGCCTATTTGTTCATAGTAGGCAGTAAGCTATTTCGGGTTTTGCTTGAGCACTTCTGTCTATCGAGGCTTCCAAATCATGAAATGAGGCAGAGAGATGAGCCCATTCCTTTCCCCGTCCCCAGTTTCAACGGGAAATTGCACCATGGCTTTGAAATACGGAACCTATCCATAGTAAGTGAACCCAAGTTGACCTTAGTTGTCCGCATCCATCATCTCCCAGAGATACCCCAAAGACCCGGCTGCATAAGCAAGCTCGTATCACTCGTTCTTTGAGTTTCTGTTGCTGATACTCGCCAGGGTCTTCCCGTATTTGCATTTGTAATGCCCCCTCACCAACCACCCCAGCGAGGAGATAAATACCCATGAGATCTCGCAATCGAGCCCGCCGGTATAATCCACCATTCTATCAGACAAACCAGACCCACATTGAATTGAACCTCCAAAATCAACCACCATGACCACCACCGAAACCCCAGTGGTCCTCCTTCTCGGTGCCGGCCGCAACATCGGCCAGCACACAGCCCAGCACTTCGCCGCCAAGGGCTACCGCGTCGCCCTCACAGCTCGAAACGTCAACCCCGACGACAGTACGGAGACCCAGCTCCATATCCAATGTGACCTCGCCGACCCACCGGCCGTGCATGACGTCTTCTCGCGCGTGAAGACTACCCTTGGAGTGCCAAGCGTGGTCATCTACAATGGTGTGTTCTCCGGTCCCCAGCCAACCCACTCTCCAGTCTATGCCAGAAAATCATTAACCTTTGGTGTGGGAATAACTACTAGCCTCCAGCTTCACCCTAACCGACGCCGACGATGTTTTCAACAAAGTCGCTCCCGAGCAATTCGCCCGCGATCTGAACGTCAACATCGCCAGTGTTTTTGTCGCCGCCAAGCTGGCGGTTGAAGGATTCGAGACTTTACCTGCTTCCGCAGCACGGACGTTCCTTTATACGGGGAACGCCCTGAACACGGTTGCTGTGCCTCCGTTCTTCACGTTGGGGATCGGGAAGTCGGCTACGGCGCATATGATTGAGTGTGCGGCGATCGCTTACCGGGAAAAGGGATACAAGTGAGTTTGTTCGGGGAGGGTTTCGTCCTAATTGTGAACTCTGGTATCGTGGGCTTTGTTACTGACCAGAGTACAGGTTCTACTATGTTGACCAGCGAAACGCGGATGGGTCATCTTCACCGCACATCGATGGCGAGGCACACGCGCAGATATTTGCAGAGCTGGCCGAGAACCCTGATCAACAACCGTGGCAACAGACGTTCGTCAAGGGAGAGGGGTACAAGGTATTTGGCAAGGGATTCTTGAGCAACTGATTCCGACTGCTACCAGTTACACTATATACCGTCCCAAGTTCTATCTCTATATAACTTAACCATAATGCAATCACTCAAGCTTCACACCCTGCTAGGTACTTTTCCAGACATCAATCACCCCAAAACCTCCCCCAAGTCCCGCCCCTCACCCCCAACCACCGCCCTGCCGCGATAGTCCGTCGGCACCGCCTGCGACGCAAACGCGAGGAACACCGCCTCCCAGCGCCCGTCCGGGAACCGAAACACCAGCCCGCCATCCTTGAAGACCGCGTCCTCGTACGCCTTCCGACTGCCCTGGTTCATATGCACGTCGTGGATGCCCGTCCCGAACGAGCTCCCGAAGACATACGCCGTCGCGCGCCGGTGGATCGCATCCTGGAGGATGGGCTCCAGCTCGTCCAGCATATCGTTATCACTGCCCGGGATGTCGTGCGGTAGGAGCCGCCCGGCCTCGAGGTGCACGAGCTTCGGCGTCGTGCGCAGGTAGTCCAGCCCGACGAGGGTGGGGTGGTGCTGCTGGTGGCGGTAGGGGAGCTCGCGCTCGTCGTCGCCGTCGGCGTTGTCCGGGTGCGAGCGGATGCGGTGGAAACCCTTGTCCAAACCGGCCAGCTCGTGGACCAGCGGGTGGTGCGCGAAATCCCGGATGAACCAGAAGACCAGGCGTGTGTCGTGCTGCGTGGATTTCACGTTGATCGCTACTTGCACTTCGTCGCTGCGGTTGCGGTTGTGGTTGGGTTCCCGGTCGTCGTCCGGGTTGCTGCCGTCGCGCAGGAAGAGGTTGATGTGCGGGGTCGTGTGGTCTTGGTAGGCGGTTTGCGCGTGGAAGCGGTGCGGGTGGCCGACCCAGACGCCGTAGTTGGGGATGGGCATTCTGAGGTATGGTATATGGTGTGGGTGTGGTTGTTTGCTGGGGGTGTGCGCCAGAGGTTGTGGGTTGGCTTGTGTTCGACACCGGGCTCTACGGGGCTTCTGGAAGGGGGTAGTGGACTGACTACGTACTGTATTTATTTGTGGATTTGACAATGCTCGGGGATTGAGGCTATTGACATGCTGGGAAAAAAAAGGAGAGAGTGGAGATTCGCGATGGAGCTGCTAGTGTGACACCAGGGTGGATCCGATGGGGACGATCGTCGATATCTAAAAAAGGATTGTATAGTGGGTAACCTTGAAGGTCAGCTAGACTGGGAGATGGAAAGCTCTCGTTTGGGGAGGTTGTTTTTGAGGTTATCACTGGTAATTGGTAAGTATTGTGTATCTGATGCCCGACTCCTACATCCCTCGGCCTACCTAGTACTATGGGAGACTTCAAAGATGGAGCCTTCCTGCCTTGCCAGAAAAACGGTGCTCGAGAAGGTGCTAAACGGACAGTTACAGTACGGATGAGTGCCTTTGCAGTCGCTTTCCCTCGTGCCTGCCATACCGTGTGCATGGCTGGCTAGCTGGGAAGACCCTTTGCTCACTCTCCCCAGGTTGGACCTCTCCAGCATGGTTCTATCTGTCTCCTCATACCTCATTTTAGCACATCGAATACACACACTTATTCTTCCACAACAGAACGTACATATATCGTTACCACGTTGTTAGCCATGGCTAGTGTTTGTCCCCTTCTGCCTTGGACCGATCAAGCACAAGCTCACAATGCATCGCACGCAGGCTTGGAGGCCACCGCAGTCTTGGGACTCAACGCAGTCCGTGGGCCCAATGCAGTCTGCAATCCCACCGCACCCTTGGGATACACCGAATCCTCAGGGCCCAATACAGTCTTCAACCCCACCGCACCCTTGGAATACACCGAATCTTCAGGACCCGTATCAGCCTTCGAACCCACCGCAGCCTTTGAACCCACCGCAGCCTTCGAACCCACCGGAAAACCCAGATGGGATTACACCAGCTTTGCCGGCGAGCTTATCACAAGCTTCAACGCAAAAACCAAGTTCAACAGCGACTGAATTAGATCTGAATAGAGGGTCGCCACAGGCTCGGAATCGGCAGCGGATTCAGATCAAGCGGGAAGTCGCAAGGCGAGTTCAAACGCATGTCCAAGGAAAGATCCGAAAGCAGATCCAAAAGCAGATCCAAAAGCAGATCCAGAAGCTAAGGTGGTTGAGCAAGATCTTGCCGAGAGAGTTCTTCCCCAGAAGGTTCTCGTCGAGAAGGATCTTTCACAGAAAGATCTCCCGGCCAAAAGTCTTCCTCAGGAAAGACCCATTAGGACTGCCTGAAACAACAGACCTGCCCGACGTATCCGCAAGGCCTTTAACATCCACGGGGCAAGATCCTCCTGCAGAGTCAAATCCCCCTTCACGCAATTTCATCTGGGGGTGGATTGGCCGCCAAGATGGACAGCTGAGGTATGAAGACGTGCCTGCTTGGTTGAGGGGCACAAGCGACAGGCTAAATCTGACAAGCGCATCCAATGCCATGGGTTCACTTGCAGAATCTATCCCAGGTGATACTAGCGCCCGCTTTGAGGTACTCGCCACACCAGTAGTGGACGACGACTACCACCAGAACGCACTCACGCAGCAAGAGAGAGACTGTTCTGTCACGGTGAGCCATTTCGGCAGGACACAGACACGTCCATATCACGCGGCTCTCTTTGCTACCAGGCAAGGCTGGCATCAGTTTTCTGCAAGATACTACTGGTGGGCAGTTGCTTCCGTTCGTCCCGCTGGTCCATTGAACACGACGGCACCCAACCCTGGCGTGGCGCAATATCTCCTTGTGTATGACTCGAGGCCTTTGAGACCAGACCTAGAAAGAATGCAAGCCACGCGAGGCTTGCGCGATTTCCTCCGAAAGGATCAATGTCGGATGCTGAAAATATTGAATCGGACAGTTCCCATCAAGTATATTTTTCTCAATCGGGCACGACTGCGGATGCCGGACCTGGGTGATTGCTTTCGAGAGACTTTGTGGTGGATCTCGAATGTGGTCCACCGTGGTGATATGCCAATTGAAATTGGATCAGAGCTAAGCGATCTTCGGTGGAAGGTAGTCGACGCGATCACTCTGGAGTTTGAACACGACGAAGCAGATAGGGGGCCAAGGGCAGATCGAAAATTGATCTTGCAATCGATATCAAGAGCGGGTGAGCGTCGAAACGTCCATTAGATAGTTAGTGTTAGGTAGAGAACGAAATATTCTGTGCTTGCCTTGTTGACCAGAAGAGTTGAAAAAGAACAATCCACAGTAGGTCTAATCAAGTTGCAATTCTGAAGTACGAACAGTCTGTCAGCTCTGGCTTCAGCAACCATCAGTCAGGGCTCAATCCACTTCACATCTTTGATTCTCTACGCAGCTGCGCCGTTCATAACAAGTGGACCCAGTAGGAGGAAACCTCGTAAGTATCGTAGATCGCCGGCTCCTCCGCCCTCAGTGCCGCAAACACCTCCCCCATCATCACCATCCGACTCAGGAGATACACCGCCGGCGAAGACAGGCTCACGATAGTCACCATCCCCTCCCATCGAAGCACCACTTTCTCAAAGTGCATGAACACCAGCATCGACCCCATGGACACGAATGCCGCGATCCGCCACAGCCACAACTCCACCGTGGTGGGGAAGACATCATTCCACGACACCAGGTGCAGCGCCCCGAACGACATCCCGAAGAGGCACGTCAATGGCCAGAGCCTGGAGCGATACAGATCGGGATCCCAGTGCGCCACCACAATCTCCTTTCTGGGTCCGTCTGTCTGAAAGTCGACATGCACGGCTGCTGCTCCCGCTAGTGATGACGAGGATGACGCTGACGAAGACGACGCAGACGACGCAGACGACGCAGACGAGCTCTTTTGCGTCTCGAGCGCCCGCGCCGCCATCGTCCGATCCCTCTCCTCCTTCTCGAACACCCGCGGCGTCAGATACCAGACACTCCAGTACGTGACCTGGTCGCGCAACCCCTCGTTGTCGAACCTGTGGCTGACCGCCAGACTCTCGAACGCCGCGCGCTGCTCGCCCGTCATCCCCGCCGGCAGGTCCACGACCGTCGGCGACCGGACATGAATATATGGTGCAGTGACTGGACGTTTTGTGTACTGAATCAATGATATTAGCAGTTGGATCTCTATGAAAAAGATCAATTCCTACGTGAAATTCGTCATGGAGGATTCTTGTAGCCCTTGTATGTACTTGTTGCGTCGCTTGAGGCTATGAGAATCTGGTTTTGGAATGCGTCGGTAGCATCGGAGATGTTTAATTACCAGGCTCCACAGCGCCGGCACGCTTGTTCCTCAGATGATAGGTTGAAACTAAACGCTGCTGTTACACTAATGTATACACTAATGTAGGTGATGTTTCGATGGTTGTGTGGGCTAGAATACTAGGTCATTCACCTAGCATAGGCCTCTGCAAGCGTTGAGTGCGTCACAACTTCTCGAAATATCTTTTGTCGTTCTGTCTCTCACACTGAATGACACACTTAGATCAATTGGAAGAGTTGGCCCAAACAATCCCTGCAGCTTGTCATAAATATGGAGTATCAACGCAGACTAACTGTTCAAGACTACGCGTTTTAGTGTCGGCGAAAAGCGCCGATCCACCGCCATCCAGCCTCAATCACATTCTCACGGCCCACAACATCACACTCTCACAATCTCACCTCTCTCTTCGAAGTTTCTCTCTGATCCCTTGTTCTTCTCCCATTCACCACTTCGTCATGACAATTGGCGACATCATGCTATCTGTCGTCAAATATGGCTCTCTATCGGCCGCCATCGCCGTCGGATTGTATGCCGTCCTGCTAGGACTGTTGACCCGGCCTAGCTTCCAAGCGCATGTGGTGTATCTGCATGCGGTGCAGATGACCTGGTTCAAAGACCTCACGGTCCCCGAATCATTCGGATTCCTTCACAATCAAGTCACTCCCTTTTTCATTCCCACACCAGACGGCCACCGCCTCTTTGCCTGGCACATCCTGCCTCTTTCCGTCTACCACCAGAACGAACGTGCTCTCCTGTCGGAAGATACTCCGGGTGTTCTCACCAACACCACGACGCGCCACGCGTTCCACCTCCTCTCCACCGACCCAGATGCCATCCTAGTCCTCCACTACCACGGCGCCGGGGGAACCGTCGGGTCAGGGTATCGCGTCCCCAACTACCGCGCTCTCGCGGCCGGCTACCCGGCCAAAAACATCCACGTGCTGACCTTCGACTACCGCGGCTTCGGTCTGACCAACGGCTCGCCCTCTGAATCGGGTCTTATAACCGATGCTCTCGCCGTCGTAGACTGGGCCCTGAACGTTGCCAACATCCCACCGCATCGCATCCTTCTCTTCGGCCAGTCTCTGGGCACCGCCGTGACTCTGGCCGTCGCCCAGCATCACGCCCGCCAGTCTCCGCCGGTGGCGTTCAAGGGGATCGTACTTGTAGCGCCGTTTGTCGACGTCCCGACCCTCGTGTCAACCTACCGGGTGGCCGGAACAATTCCCATTCTCAGTCCGCTCGCGCGGTTTACGGTTCTGTTCCAGGCGCTGCAGGGGTTCATCCGCGACCAGTGGAGCAGTGGACAACGGATCGCGGAGTTTGTTCACGCGAGTGAAGCGAAGAGCCTGCCGTATCGGCTCACTGTCATCCATGCGGAGGATGATTATGATATTCCCTGGTGGCATGCCAGGGAATTGGTTGCGCGTGGGGTGCGTGCGTCGGGCAGGGACGGGGTGGAGGAAGCGGATGTGAAGGTGGATCTTGGCGCTTCAGGGACGATCAGGGAGTGGCGATCAACCCAAGGGATAATACGTGAGGAGATTCTGAAGACGGGGCTGCACGATGTGATCATGGGAGATGCAGTGGTGTCGATGGCGGTGATGCGGAGCTTGGAGGGAGTATGACGTCAATTGACGCCTTATGTAGAGGGGGAGATATCGTACCATATTATATTGACTAGATCGGATTTTGAATCCAACCTACCACAATAATCGGTACTGAGTACAGTACCTTTAGAAAATCTCTCTTCCGCTGAATCCCAGCAGTAAGTGAAACCCCAGAAATGCTTGTCGATCAACCTGGGGCCGAAGGTCAGCCCTACCCAAGCAACAACGACCGAAACGCTCATCATTTCGTCAAAGGGACCCAACCGCATGCGATCCATGGTTCACAGCACTGTCAGGGTACAGTGCCAACCACCACCATCCTGACATCACACCTACATCCCCAAACCCAGCGCGCCACCGGCCAAAAGACCTGCTTGCTGCTCGCATGTCCCCTTCGCAAGCCCATTTCTTTTCCACTCATCACAGCCCGCCTCTGCATTCGGCCATCACCCTCACCATGCGCCTTCCGCTAGAGACTCCAGATGCCACGCATCCCGAAATCCACGCCTACATCCTCGGCGCAGGGATCACCTCCCTCTCCGCCGCCGTCCACCTGCTGCAAGAAGGCCACCTCCCGGCCTCGCACATCCACATCCTCGAGACCCTCGACCAAGCCGGCGGCGGGACCGTCAGCTCGGGCAATGCAGAGGAAGGATATCACTACCGGGCAGGCGGGATGCCATTGCTGAACGGGGAGGCGATGGCGACGCTGTTCGCTGAGGTTCCGTCCGACGTGAATCCTGGGAAGAGCGTGTTGGATGACCTGTACGAGTACTGGGGCTTATCGGCGGCGACGGTAGCCCATCAGCAACAGCAGCAGCATGGTGGACGGCTGGGAGAGGAGCCGACACAACATCCGCAGCAGTCTCAGTGTCACCAGACGCGACTCGTCCGACGGTCGAAGCACGGCCTCGTCCGGATCGACTGCAAGCGAAGTACAAATCTCGGACTGCGGGATCGAGTGGAAGTGTTTCGGTTCATGAATAAGAGTGAGGTCACGCTGGGGAGATCGCGCATTCGGGATCACTTTGGGAAGGGGTTCTTTGGTGGATCTTACTGGGGGGTGTTGAGTACTACGTATGCTTATTTCTACATGCGGTTCTTGGGCGTGTTCATGCGTTATTGACTCCTGCTGCTCGGTTGTGAGCAACGCTGACGATTACCTATCAGCTTCGGCTTCAAATCCTGCCACAGCGCCGCCGAATTCCACCGCACCCTGCACAAATTCGGCCACGACATCGCGAGCATCACCAGCTCGCACCCCCGTCCCCTGGACGGCGGCCAATACAACCGCCACGAGTCGCTCGTCGCCCCGATCGCCCGCTTCCTGCGTCGCCAAGGGGTCGACTTCCAATTCCAGACCACCGTCACGGACATCATCTTCGCCGACGACGCCACCGCCGCCGGCCCAGAACCTCCATCAGCCGCCGCCTCCAACTCCGGGTCCGCGTCCCCCAGCGTCCACACGACCCCAAGCACCAGGCAGCGCAAGCGCAGCAGCCGCCATAACTCCAACGACGACAGCCAGAAAGCCCCAAAGCAGCACCCCCCACCGTCCACAGAACCGCCCTACCCGCCGCGCCTCGTCTCCGCCATCATCGCCCACCCCCTCAACGGGCCCGAGCAGACGATCCCCGTCCAGCCGCACGACATCGTGCTGGTGTCCCTGGGCAGCGCCATGTCCGGCTCCAGCCTCGGCAGCAACACGAGCGCCCCACCGCTCTACCAGATGGAGGCCGACCACGAGCTCGACGAGAACTGGCTGCTGTGGCTGGAGCTGACGACCAAGGACCCGCGCCGGTTGGGGAATGCCTACAACTTCTGCACGCGCCTCGAGGAATCGCGCCTGGAGTCCTTCACGATCACCCTGCGCGCGGCGGGCGGGAATCGCATCCTCGAACGTATCACCGGCACGAACGACAATCCTCCCGGTGGATCATCAGCATCATCATCATCGTCGTCGTCCCAAAACGGTAGCGGGATGTTCGTCTCCCTGATCGATGCCCCCTGGGTAGTCAGTCTGCACGTGCCCGCGCAGCCCGTCTTCCCGGACCAGCCGGCCGAGGTGCAGGTGCTCTGGGGGTACGCGCTGTACCCCGAGCGCACCGGGGAGGTCGTGCGCAAGCCGATGCTGGAGTGCACCGGGGAGGAGATCCTGCGCGAGGTGCTGGCGCAGTTGGAGGTCAAGGAGGCCGAGGCCGACCGGATCCTGCAGGGCGCCCTCACGATCCCCTGCGTCGTGCCGCGCATGGCGGCGGGCTTGCTGCCGCGCGGGGAGGGCAATCGCCCGCGCGTGATTCCCCCCGCGATCCGGAATTTGGGGCTCATTGGCCAGTTTGTGGAGATTGAGGGGGAGACCGGAGTCGCGGCGATGGAGTATAGTGTGCTTGGGGCGCAGATGGCGGTGCGGGAGTTGGTGGGCCGCGGTTCTTTGGTGCTGGGGGAGGGACAGAGGCACGGGGTGGCTGGGGAGGAGAAGGGGCAGCACCCGCAGCAGCAGCATCGAGTCAAGGAGTCGAGGAAACGGTCTTGGTTGCCGTTGCCTTGTACTTAGCCTGGTAGTATGTATGTAAGGCTATGATGTTGGAGATGATGTTCTTATGAAGTAGTGCGTTTTGTTTCCGCGAGATCTTATAGTGTAGACATGCCGTGTACAGTAGAGTAGAGTACATATCAAAAAGAGTCACGAACAATCAAATTCGATATCAAACACCGTCCCCGGGCCCCAACCTCAAGAACCAACTTTTTTCCTCCTTTGTAGACATGTAGACACACCTCCCCCCCCCCCAACCTTTTCCTCAAAACTAACGCTTCTTCACCCACTCACTCTCCTCCAACCACCCCTCCAAATTCTTCAACCCGGGATACAACTTCCGCAGCCGCGGGATATCCGCCCCGTACCCTTGCTCATAGAACCACGAGAACATCGTCCGGGGATCGCCCAGCACCCACAGCACCAGGTAGCACAGCACGCGGTAGGTGGTCGGCAGCGGGCGGCCGCCGGTTTTGGCGCGCACCGTGCGCTGCAGGTGCTCGTAGGTCAGGTCGTCGCCCGCCAGCGACAGGCACTGATTCCGGAACGGGGCCGCGCCCGCGCGCACCAGCGCCATCGCCGCGAAGTGGCCCACGTCCGCCACGGCCACGCACTGCAGCGGCTTCCCCTGCAGGTAGGCGTCCCACGCCGTCGCGGTCACTTTCCCCGCGAAGCCCGTGGAGGGAACCAGGTTCTCGAAGAAGAAGGTCGGGCGCAGGATTGTCCAGGTCATGGTGGTGGTGCTGATGTTGTTGCTACCGCCGCCGCCGCCACCGCCTTCGGTGTTGGCTTCGCGGGTCCGCGTGAACAGGTGCTGCTCGATGCGGTGCTTGCTGATGAAATGCGGGATGGTGGTGGGGTTGTCGCTGGAGGCGTCGCCGCCGCGGTCGACCGAGCTGTACACGAAGTGCGGGATTTGGTGGGCTAGGGCCGCGTCGATCAGGGCTTTGCCTTGCTGTTCTTCTTTGTGGACGCTTTGGCCGGACGCGAAGGGGTTCTATTTCCCTGGTTAGTATGTACAGGTACTGTACTGACGGTACGGTGTCTGAGATGGAGCGACAATTGTGGGGGTGTGGGGGGGAATGCTCGAGAGGTGACGGGCAGGGCTGGGGCTAACCTGCACGCTAAACACCCCGGAGATCGGCAACGTCGCGGCGTTCTTTGCCTTCTCGAAGATCTGCGCCGGGTGGTCGAGGTCCCCCTGGATGAGCTTGATCTTGGGGGATCGCTGGGTGAGGCGGCGGGCGGCGCTGGAGTGCGGGTTGCGGGTCACGGCGAGGATCTCCACATCGAGTTCCTGGGCGAGGAGCGCGTTGATCACGGCGCTGCCTTGGTTGCCGGTGGCTCCGGTGATGAGGAGGGCGAGGGGCATGGTTGTGGGTGTGAGTGTGAGTGTGAGTGTGAGTGTGAGTGTGAGTGTGAGTGTGAGTGTGAGTGTGAGTGTGGAGTATGAGGGGGGTAGGGGGTAAAGGTAGAAAGATGGAAGGGGATTTTCCATACATTCCATGTGGAGAAATAAGGATAAGGTGTGAAAGTGGAGAGAGCAAGCATTACCGGATCCGTCAGTCAGGATGACCTCATTTTGCGGGGGGTGACTGCTTAGTCAAGTCTCAACACCTCAGGCATATCATGGCAGGGCAGGCATGCTTGATTACCTCTTTGGGAAGTAAGTAACTAGTACCTAAGCTAGTACTGTGTCTATCTTCTTTGTGCACCGCCTCCACTACCTACATGCATACAATGGCTTGGTGTGCCTCATTCCAATCAACCAGGAACAACCCGGTCCAGCCACAACCCCTCATCTGCGTGCTATTTTGAGACCAGACCTCACACTTGTTATCGCTACCGCAGTCAACATGCATTAGTCGACTGGGAGGAGCACCGGCGCTGCCTCCGTTATTACTAGCTTCCCGGGTATCAAGCGAAACACCTCTGGCGGCCCGTTGTCTAGAAACGTGCAGGGGTGGTTCACGCTCAGCCCCATCGTCACTGAACAGCCACACAACCTTGGGGAGGATGAGGGGGTGCCCAGGGTGCCAGGAGTCACTGAATCATGGGTTCAGCAGATATATAAGCTCGTCATCGTGTCGTGGGTCGGTATCTCAACTTCCCACCAGCACTAGCCGCAACACCTAACAGCAAGTCCCCACTCAAGATGTCTCAGTATTCCGCAAAGGCAGATCATCTTTCGGAGATCCTGAATCTTTATCCCGATCAAGAGAGATGGTGTGCGGGGTATGCGCCTTCACAGGGTCGACGCTGTCACAACCCCATCAGTGGTGCAAACCGAGGTTCGGCCGTGCGTCTACTTGATGAAGGCAGTGAAAGAATGAGACAGGGCGAAGACATCGACGACCTCCTGATGGATCTGGCGTCGCTTGTTCTCTGTCGCCATGTTCATCAGAAAGATCCGAGGAGTCAGGTTCCGACGCTTGTCAAGAAGTGGCAGGAGAAAATCCGGGGCGTCAGTGAGGATCTAGAGAAGGTGAAGCACTTAAGCCTTTGCAGAGACACAGACGAGGTTGAGATACCGAGGAGATTGAATAGATCCTCATTGTCTTCAAGACTTCAGCCTAGCTGGCATGAGAATTTACCCCTCCAATCTAGTGTGGAGGCTCCGAATTCCAGCAAGGTCAAGGTCAATCGGCGGGCTTGGCCGTCCAGCTCAAATGACGGTAGGGCGAGGGTGTCATCGGCCGGAGTGTCTGGCGCTATCACCACAACCTCTTCACAGCATGCAGTATCGATCACGGAGCAGCCTGGGCTATTCACTGCTCCTGCACCGACCCTTCATGCTTCTACCTCATCCTCACCTTCAAGCTCTCAATCTTCAGGCTCTTCGCCATCAAGGCCTGCACCTCTACCTCATTCAACTTCAAACCCTTCCCCCACTATCTCCACCCCGATGGTCAACCCCCGTGCTACTGTTACTCCAGCTTCCAGCTCTCGCGCCTCAGCGACTTCTTCGATGTCGGCCTCTATATCAGCTTCTACGTCAATTGCAAGTTCCATCACCTCACCTACAAGCGCCAGAGCAAGTCCAAATCGTGCTTCCACCTCTGGCTCTGGACATACCGAAACGGCTTTCTCTCGCGTGCCAGCTTCTTCGCCGCGGGGATCAGCTCCGTCATCTCGCCATAGAACTCACCATAGCGCTCAGGCTTCACGCTCGGACACCACTACCACCACAAGCGTTACGTCGACCAGGACTATCACAGTTTCGACTTCTAGCTCCACAAGCACTGCTGCTCCCACAACTTCCACCGCTTCTTCAAGAGTTTCTGTTAGCAGTGTTGAGCCAGAGGCATCAGCTTCAGGTCCTACAGATGCTCCTGCGCGTTCCAGGACAGCCTCGACGACTGTTACGCCTGCTGCTTCAACCTCGGCTCCTACTAATCTAGCTTCTACATCGACTACTACAGCGACTGCTGGAGCCTCTTCTACGTCTAGTCCGACATTTGCGCCAACAGCTGCTCCTACAGTCCCAGCCCAAACAGCAACCGCAACCGCAACCGCTACTCCCGAATCAACCACAACCACATCTCAGCCTGACACTTCATCCCCTGCCGTCATCTCGCAACCCCCCCGCTCCTCCTCCTCCTCCTCCTCCTCCTCCTCCTCATCAATCTCATCAACAGCAGCAGCCGTCTCAGTCCCTTCTCCACTCGTCCCAAAACCCACCTACACTCCGACCCGCCAGCCCATCACAGGTGACTGCTCCATCTGCTACGAGCCGCTCCTCCCCGGCTCTCCTTTTACAACCCCGCATCAAGCAGCCCGAGACCTGTCGATCGTCTACTGCAAGCAGCAGTGTGGCACGAACTTCCACTTCAGTTGCATGTTCACGTGGAAGAAGACGGCGTCACAGAGGGACCGGGAGCCGACTTGTCCTATGTGTCGCGCTGCTTGGTCTTGATCCTTCCATCAGAGGGTACTTGGGTAAAAGCAATGCTGGTTTGCGAAGTTTGACTGGATTTTCTAAATTAAGAAATATGGTTTTAGGGCGTTTACCTGGCATTCTGTCTTGGATGAAGGGGTTATTAGCCACTGACTGTTATTATGATTATGGTTATGAGCATGAATGAATGAACCGATGCCTGTTGGATACCTTTTTTCAGCTGTAGATCATGTGGCTACAGTGTAGGATTAATTCCGTAAGCTCTATCTGTTGCAATTCGCGTAGTCTGCATTACCTGTAACAGCTTCATCTTCATCTGAGCCTCGAGCGTAAGTTATTACTTTGGAACAGATAGTTCTGAGCCTCAGACAGTTAATTATTACTTTGAACAGATAGACACCCAACACCAGTCGTGCAGCTACAGCTACATATTTCTCCGAGTGAAACCTAATCCCACAAGAGAAATCGTGCAACAAACCTTTTTTAAAATAAAAAAGTAAAAAAAAAAAGAATAACATTCTTAAAATACTACAAAAGATAACAGCAACATAGCTAGACAAAAAGATCCAATCTCAAAAAGCAGAACCTAAAATTCCAAAACTTCCAAAGAATAAAGTCGTCAATAATGAAGGTGTGCTCAAGCTCAACGGTACCCAAAACATCAACACCATCACACATACACACATACATACTCACCCCTCAATCTCATCCGCATCCGCATCCCCATCCCCATCCCCATCCCCTACCAAAAGCCCAGAGCCCGTCCCAGTGGGGTTGGGTCGGGCTCAGTTCTTCGGCACCAGCGGCCGCGTAAAGAACTTCCCATTCCAGTAGTCCTGCGAGTAGCTCCCATCCCCCTTTCCTTCTTTGCTAGGCGCAGCAGCAGGTTTGCGCTGGTCCACATCCATCGGGTACCCGGCCAGCGCCGAGGGGCTGATCGTCTCCCCGGGGGGAGGACTGTACGGGGCCCGTTCGAGGACGGTGGTCTGCAGGGTGGGGGCGGGAGGAGGATTGAGGGGCCGTAGCTCTAGGTCTTGCCCCAGCCCCAGTCCCGGGTTCGGAGATTGGTGAGTCGTTGCTCCTGCTCCTGCGGCGGCGGTCTGCTGCTCCTGCTCCTCCTCCTGCTCCTGCTCCTGCTCCTGCTCCTGCTCCTGCAGCCGCTGGAGCTGCTGCTGGAGGACCTGTTGCTGCTGCAGGTTCTGGAACTCTTGTTCCTGGAGCTGCTGCATGACGGCCTGCTGCTGGATCACATCCTGGATGCGCCAGTGCCGCGCGGCGACTTCCTCCGGCTGCGTCCAGCGTGGCTGCGGGTGCTGCTGGTTGTTGTTGCAGATGCGGCGAGCGCGCGAGGAGGGGCTATTGCTGCGTCGGCCGTGATACGCTCTGCCCCCTCCGTGGCGGGCGGCCCGGCGCCGCTCGTGGCGGGCGATCCGGTTGTTGTTGTTGTTGTTGTTGTTGTTGTTGTTGTTGTTGTTGTTGTGCTCGCGGTAGCCGGTGAAGGATGGGCCCGTGAAGCTGTGGGGGGGCTGCTGTGGGTGGTGCCGGAAATCCGAGACCTGGGGCTGCCGCTGGAGCAGGGGAGGGAAGTTCCCATACGGAGGTTGGATCACGGGCGGGTATTGAGGGGTGACGGGGTGGTAGATGGGAGGCAGCAGGCCCGGATTTGGGGCCTGGCCGTGCATGCCCATCCCCGTCGGGGGTGGGAGGTAGGGGGCGAAGCCTGGCTGGGAGAAGTCTTGGAGCTGGGCGGTTATGGTGAGGGAAGGCACTCCAGAATTCTGGAAGGCGGGTTGGACGGAGATTCCGCTGCGGGGATGTGGGTAGTAGCCAGGCTGGTGGCCGCTCCAGTCCGGGGCAGGGCCTGTTGTCCCTTGGGGTCTGTTGTAGAAGGCCCGGGGCGCCGTGGGAATGCTCTGGGCCTGCGGACTGCCCGGCGCCGGGGTCGGCGCTGGGGCGGCAATGCCAGAGCTGGAGCCCGTGCCGGTCACAGCTGGGTAGAGCCGGCTCTCCTTGGGAGAGTTGAAGCCGCCGCCGGTCCCGACGAATCCGTCCGATGCCAAAACGTCCACCGGGGTGGCCGGCTTCTGGCGCGACAGCTCTTCCCCGAAGCCCGGCGACGGAGTCACGGGAGGAACCCTGTTCAGAGCCGGTGCTCCCAGGTTGGCCTGGTTCAGGGCCGGGAGCTTTCTTTCCAGGAAATCTCGCCCAACGTTGGACTGGTTCAGGGTCTCGAGCTTGTCATCGGCGAGCCGCTCATTCTCGCCCCGGAAGATGGATTCGAAGAGAGTTTCAGTCGATGACTTTGTCTGGCTGAAGCCGGGGTAGCTCGAGGTGTTAGAGCCATTGGAACCACTGGTGCCACTGGAACTACTGGTCGTAGGTCTGGCGACCTTGGGCAGGAGCGGCTGGGCCAGCAGCGCCTCGTCCGACAGCTGAGATATGACAATGCAATCGTCCTCGTCATCCTCGTCCATGGTGCTACTACTCTCGCTGCTGCTGTAGCAGTCAAAACCCGGCTCCGCATCGGGGTGGTATCCGTCGTCGCTCTCTTCGCTACTAAAGGCGGAGCGCGCCGAGTGGAAACTTCGGAGAGATCCCGACTGAGTCGAACTCTGGCTTCCTGCTGGCTTCACCGATGCGCTATCCGCGAGGCGGGTCGCTTCCACGGACGATGGGACGCCGATTGACAGCCCGGAGCAGTTGGCGACCGAAGCACGCGCCACGTACTCATTCACATACTCCTTGAGAAGCGGGGTAGCCTGCACTTGGGGGTGAACGGCGCAGGAGCCGGAGGGGCGCTGATCAGCAGCGCCAGCCTCCGCGCAGTCCGCGCACATCCCCCAGAGGTCTCCCTTCACGGGGTCGTATGAGTTCTGGAATTCGTGACCGGCGCAATTGCCAGCGCGCAAGCCATTGACCATCTCCTGGCAGATGTCGATGCTGCAGCATGCAATGTGCTTGCAGACCTGGTAGTGAGAATACTTGTGGAAACACATGGTGACTAGCACTGCTTGTTGTGTCGACACGAGATGACTGTGAGACGGTTGTGTTGTGTGTAGAATCAACGCTGCGAAGTTAGATCGTCGCAAATGCGCAAAGATGTCAGATTTCACTTTCCAGCAATTTCCATCAAGTTTGGAACTGTAGAAAAATGGACATCACGGTTCACAGCGAGCACGAGCCTATTATTTATAATCCATGAATGGTGGAAAGTCGCAGCACGTAGACAATGCGATTCTCTCTTTCACAGGCACCTTTTGTCAAAGAAAGGCATTCTGAACATCACCATCAACCGCAGCCCGCCCTTCTTTATGCGCTCTCAAAAAGGGAACAAGGAAAGGGCGGGCTTCGACAATACGGTGGGTGTGTAAGTGAAAGGGGAAACACAAAGAAAAAAGCCACCTCCCGTCAAGCCCGTCCGTCACTCCTCGTCCATTGACAGGTCGATCAGGTATCGCACCCCAGAGTCCAGCAGCCACCAGGAGGCCAGCTCGTGAAAGAAACGCCAGACGGGATTCCTCAAAGGCATTTTCTCCTGCAGCGACGATCCGTCCGCCGTGGTGATCCACAGCACACACTCGCTGGCGAAGACCACCTCCTTGGCTTCGTCCCAAAACCGCAGCAGCAGCCGGCCCGCGACCTCCCCGCCGCCGTGGGGGGAACAGATCTCGAACTCCACGCTGGTCGGGCGACGCTCGGCCACGCGGTAGATGCCGCAGATGATGTCACCGCGCTGGAAGTCCAGGCTGCGGATGCGGGACGGCTTGAAGGTCGCGCGGGATCCCGAGCCGCTGAGGATCCAGAGCATGTAGGCTTGGGGAAAGTAGGCGAAGGCCGACATGTTGCGGCGGAGGAGGATGTTGAGCAGGTCGGAGGGTTGGTGGGTGGTGGGGAGAAGCTGGCGGGGCACGCGACGAGTGACCTTCTCGTACAGACAGTCGTGACTGGACTTGGAGATGTCGGGCGGGATCGTGGTCATGGAGCTGAGGGATGAAGGAGGATTTGGAAGGTTAGACAGCGGGCCTCGAAAGTGCTCGTGCTCCAGGCCATTTTTGAGAGAGCGATGGAGCAGGTACAAGTAGGCAAAGGTGCTTGTCGACACGGCGAGAATCCAGGTGGTGAGCGACATCTTGACCACGCTTGCACTCCACTGCTCACACATTGCCAATTTGGATGGTGGGTTGAGCTGAGGCTCAAGCTCATATTTAAATGGTTTGGTTCAACGGTGGGGATGTAATAAGGCTGAGCTGGGCTGAGGGAATGGGAAATGGGAAATGGGGAATGGGCCCCAAGCGAGTACGAGTTCCAGATTTGGTGCTGGCACGAATCAATCTGGCACCGCATGCAGACAGACAGACAGACAGACAGACAGACAGATAGCATGCTGCTTAAACTTTCATCCCGCGGTTGCAGTCCAAAGTGTGCCTTACGATGTGAAAGCATGAAAGAAGGGGCTCCTTGCGGCTCCTTTCGACAGATATTGTGGCTGTGGCTATACTGACACAGCCTATCTCACAGCCTATTTCCCCACTGCATTTGATCACAGTTCATCCATTAGTTAGATCGATCGTATATCTCCTTGAGACTTGACACGTATAGTTTAGATCATTCTCCTGCCCACATAGATAGAAGAAACTCGCTTGCACATCATCGCCCATCTAATCCTCCTTCCCCATACAACCCAGCCGTCCAGGAATCCATCTCCCGACGGCACAGCCTCAATTACCCCTAACTGACCACCGACATAACAAGACGGGTATCCTTGGTGGATAACTCAACAGCAGTAATAGAAATTAGAGAAATAATATAGTAGAAGACGGAAGAAAGGTAGTCACGGGTTCCCATCGCCTAAACCATCGATGACGCCGCGGTCGGATCGAAAAGGCTTCACGCGACATCGTAGGATTGCTTCTCTGCTTTCCGTTTCATCCATCGGCGGTAGATTAACAAGGCGATGATTCCGACGGCAACAATGAAGACGATGCAGAAGACCAGAACCACCCCAGGGTTTCTGCTGGCCCAGTTGCTTCGCTTGATGAGCTGGTGGTGTCGTTGTGCAGCGGTGGACACGAGGGCGTCGATGGCAGCCATTGTCTATCAGAGTTAGCACTCGGGTCGATGTTCCTGTACACCTTCGAGGCAGATACTCACGTCGTACAGGTGAATAGGAACAGGGATCACGACAGACAGACGAGAAAGACCGCAGCTCTCCAACAGATCACCACGGCACGGCAGGGCAGGAGCAGGTGAGGAACGGGATATGTTCAAAGGGATGAAGAGCGACAGGAAAAGAGCCTAGGGAGTTTGACCCGTTGGCGACTTGCGCACCGCACCCATCGGGAGCAGCGGAAAGAAAGTCATGACTCCCAGATCGCAATGACGTGGTGGAGAGCACATGCATGCAACGTTGGACGGGTTTGGCGTCTGGCAGCCGGGGGTAACCCACGAAGCTTATTTGGAGGCTGACGGGAGCAAAGAGCGGAGGTGTAAGGGTCATATACTCCCGATCCGGATCGTGATGGACTGCATTGGGTCGTGTAAAGGATGAGGAGGATCGGATGGGCACGGCAGACTGTGGTGTCAAAGATCCTTGCATTCGTGACCAGTATAGCTTCGGCTGCCTCAATGAGATATCTCACTCTTAAGAGCCGTATGCTTGCATCGTATCATATTGGAGATGTCTTGAGACGCCTTCGAATGAGTTCAACGGACGATTCTCGAGTGCTGACATCAAGCGATGTGGAGAGTGTGGAAGATCCGCTCGTCCCGTTGGCGTCACCACTCCTGCATTTCCGTGGTTCCATTCCCTGTCCCGTCGTTCTTCCGATTCGTGCCCGTTCGGGATGAAGAGTGAACGATGGAAGACGATGGGTAGTGGATGATTGGTTGGGGTTGGTTAAGTATAGCTAGACAGGGAACTCGGGATAATGTGAGCAGCGCAGTGGGGTGAGTGTCATCCATTCCACGGTCGCATTTCGATCAATCCATACTCTAGTATAATTGAGTCAGCAGAGCATAAACCACGATAACCAACAGATTCATCTGAGCTTTATATAGCATGAAATCCTAAGCTTCACGCCAAGGCACAGTGAGTGAGTGAACCAGAAAAAGAAAGTAACTAAGGGAGACCGACCGACCGACCGATAAGCCCACCCGCCCCAAGCTCTCCCTTACAACCCCGCAATGACAGCCGGCAAATCCTCCATCCCCTCCAAAAACGCATCAAACTCGCCCCTAACCCTCCCCATATCCTCGTCCACATCATCCGTCCACCGATGGATATAGACCGTCCGCATGCCCACCGTCTGCGCGCCCCTCAGATCATACGCATGCGCCGCGACCAGCACCACCTCCTCGGGCCGCAGCTGGACCAGCTCCAACCCGCGGCGATACGCCTCCGCGCGTGGCTTGTAGACTCCCAGCAGCTGGCTGGAGAACAGCATGTCGAAGCGCAGTCCGGACGAGCGCGTCAGGTCCAGCTGGAGCCGCGTGGTGCCGTTGGCGTGCACGAACACCTCCAGGCCGAGCTCGTCGCGGAGCCGGCGGATCGCGGTCGACACCTCCGGCCACGCGGGCTGGCGGTGCCAGGCTTGGATTAGTTGGGCTACCGCGGTTGGGTCTGATAATGCATCCTGATATTCGGGGCTTCGATCGAGAACCACCCGGAGCGCCCGGGGCAGGGTCAGGTCGATGTCCTCCGGGGCCAGGTGGTCGCGCACGCGCTGCTCGTTTTCGAGGAAGTACTGCCGGCGCCAGTCGAGGGCGAGCTGCGAGGCGGCGGGCGCGGGGATGGAGGCGGGCATCGCCTGTACCACGCTGCTGTGCCAGTCGAGACAGGTGCCCATGAAGTCGAAGAAGATGGCTTTGATCTTGGGAGGTGAGGAGGTCATGGTGTACTGAACTCGGTGCGCTATGTCAGTTGCCCTGGATGTTGCGTTCTGTAAGTTCAAAGCTGCGCTTTGAGAGATTCGGTATGCCTGTCGAAGCGATCATCTAAGCCCTCCAGGGCACTCGGTGAGTGGGGGAGGATTTGAGAGCATGGCGCATTTATAATCAAGAACGGGGTGTTGTCGAAGGAGCCGCTAGTTTTGAACTAAATTATGGCAGTGCTCTTGAAGTTGCGAAACGCTCAGACCATGAGTAGAGCCAATGATCGCCCATCATCAGCACGCCATGGACTGCAGGAGCCTTGCACGTTAGGGGATCTCAGCCTGAGGCTCAGAGCCACATATTTTATTGTGAGGATTTACTCCGATCAGCAGGTAACTGGATTGTCCCCCGAAGCGATTATCTTTCTTCACCAAGGAAGTTGATTTCCATGTCACGGCAACAGGTTATACAGAGGACAGCAAAACCACCTCAGGGAACAAGCAGACCGGAAACAACATGGCCTTGCTTCTGTAGGCATTTATCGGGGGTATATCAACATCCAATCCTGCAAAAGCCAGCAACAACCATCCCTAAACACAAACCACCCCACCTTCCCTCATAGCGCTATCAGTGGTGTTGATGCACATCCGTCCGTCCGCTATTGTGCCAGGTCGCCAGCAATGCACCACATTTTCCGCAGTAGTGGTGCACATCCTTGAGCGACGACATCAGATAGGGAATACATCCCAGGCAGCAGCAGAGGCAAGTCACCGCGGCCCATGCACTGCCAAAGATCAGTAGATACCCCCGTGCGACATCCCACGTTCACGGCATCTTACTGTGTAGTATTGCCCGCCTCCGCTACCACTCGCGTCATCTCACGACTGCCACAACTTGGACAGTCTACGGGCGCTGGGCCACGCTGAAGCGCATGCAGGGGTGTAGCATTATTGTAGCCGCTCGTGTTGTGTGTCTGTGTTCCCGCGTAGAAGTTCTGCGACGAGGGCTCGTGGGGCTGGGGTGGAGGGGTGATCGTTTCCATCGGAGGCTGCGCATATGCCGGAGGGGGATAGTTGATGCTCGGCTGGTTGAGCTCTTGCATGTTCCCGTATGTGGGAGCTGGAGCTGGGGCTGTTAGCTGGGCAGAATCCCAGGGCTAGGGGACATACCAGGAGTGGGTTTCTCCGCCATCTTGAGGGTGTTGATTGAGCGCGGGCTTCGATGTTTTTATCACTGGGGATAGAATTGAACTCGCTCGAGTTCGACACTGGATAATTATGCTAGGGAATATCATAAAATCGTCGCCCCAACAGCGAGCCTGCTCCATTGTTCTCCGTCCATTCTTATACTCTGGTACAGCACTGGGTGCGAGGTGCAGGCAGAGCATTTGTGGTGAACCAACAGCAGCTGGGAGTGATATTCGTGGAACAGTGGGCGCAGTGCTGGGCTTGTTGGTCCAAGCCATCAGACGTCGTATTAAGGCATCGAGACCTGTTCCATTGGCAGACGTATGATCCCGGCGACTTCATTGGATGCAATACGAGGCTCCGCGCTGCATTGACCAGGGGAAACTGGCGACGGCAACGAGAAGCTTCGCTATTGGGTGCCATGCTTGTGTCAGCCTTGCGCGTCTGCGCGGGATGCGAATTACAACATACGAGTGCAGACTTTGCCAGTGACGATCGATGTAGATCTAGACAGAGATGACGGAGATTTCGTATCACTTGCGGAGTCGTCTGACATGTCGATTGCCCTTTGTTGGGTTGGAGCGGAGGCTGCAGCACGACTGCCCACTCCACAATGGAGAAGACGGTTTCATTCGGATTCGGATTTTTCGATGATCAGACGCAGTGATTGTGTTCGTATGGGATGGTATGAAACGATGATATGAAGGACCAATTGCATGGTCTGTCTGGTACATACACATACAAACCTGCCTCTCCTGCAGCATCAGGACTGATAAGCCCCTTATCCGGCGGCGCGAGACTCCGGCAAAAAAAAAAAACCAAAACAAAAAAGATATGCTGCGTCAGCGGGGAGTCGAACCCCGATCTATTGCTTGGAAGGCAACAATGCTAACCGCTACACCACTAACGCCCTTGCTTGAAGAATGACGACTCCATCTAACCTAAGAAAATCAATGACGCAAGTCCCAAGCAATCATGACATCCCAACCGGCTTGATAGTCGGAGCTTCTAGAACAACAAATTATATCAAAGTCCCTTGGTCTACTCCAATTCCCAATTGAAAGCACAAAACGGGTTCAGGGTGTCTCAGCTGAGGCATTATGGTGTCTACATTCGACTGTGTCAAGGCTCCAGAGACGTCTCCTGCATTGCCAATATATATTCACCTGCCGTCTCACCCGCAGCTGATAGTCTGTGATAAACCAGGTCAACACTCCAACAAAACCACACCGGCAATCATGGATACCTCCCCGCCGACCCCAGCATATCAATACACCGCTCAACGGCCTTCTGCATCTCGGCCGTAGCCTCCTCAATAACAGCCGTCAAGGGCGCCCTGCCAGCCTTCTCCGCCTGCACGCGGACATACTCATTATTCAACACCTTATTGATATTCACCTTACTAACCCCACACCCAATACACCTCCGAAAGATCTCCTCCGAGAAGGGATCGGCACCATGCAGCACCAGCCGCGTACCGTGGGGCTGCACCGTCTCCTGAATCCTCTGGAGACGATCGTACTCCAGCACGATGCCGCGGGGCCCATAGCTGCCATGGACGTTGCCGAACGCGGGGGCCAGCCAATCGATGCCGGTGTCCACGAACTCCAGACTCTCCTCGGGGGTCGTCAGCAGGCCTTCCAGGTCGGCCGTGTCGGAGACCCCGTCCTCGCCGCCCTCGATGCGGCCCGGCTCGGCCTCCGTGGCGATCCCGCGGGCGTGGCAGTACGCCACCAGCTCGCGCGTCAGCGCCAGGTTCTCCGCCTTCGAGTAGTGCGACATGTCGATCATGATACTGTCGAACCCGCCCATGTCCGCCGCCCGCCGGATGATCGCGGGCGACTGCGCGTGGTCCAGGTGCACCGTCACGGGCACGGAGGCGCCCCGCGCCGCCGCCGCCGCCGCGTGCACGAGGATCGCCCCGGCGTAGTCGATCGCCCACGGGAAGAGGAGGATCATCGCTGGGGAGCGCTTGGCTTCAGCGGCGCGCACGGTCGCCAGGATGCCTTCTACGTTGTAGCAGCACATGGCCGGGATGCCGTAGTGGTTGGCGGCGGCGTGGTCGAGGAGGGGGATGGCGCGGTTGTCGGTTAGAGAAGGCATTTTGGTGGTTGGGTTGGGGCGACGGGGGGGATGGTTGGAGTTGGAGGTGTGGATGAGTGAGGGTGAGCGGTGTTTGTGAGGTCTTATCATGATTTATAGGCGTATGGGTTGAGTGTCGGAGTATACTTCACCTTCCTCTCTGTTTACTGTCCGACTTTTCCCCGCGGAGGGGACTCCGAGGCCGGAGTTGCTCCGATCTGATGTCATTTGTTTACTGCAACCATAGAGTATAGATGGTAATATTGGATGCAGGGACCGATACCTTACGTTCAATTCCCCACTCATACTGTAACATCGAGACGGATGATCTCCAAGAAGTACTCAGACAGAGAGCGGTATCATTGATGTCTTGGACTGTTGACTAAGAAATCACAGCTTCCCCCTCCAACCTCCGCCCTCATACAAACCCACGACACTGGGACTACTCGACGCCCCCAGCCCAGCCCTCTTGGCCATCAATAACACCGCCAGCGCCGCATTCCCCAGATGCAACGGACAATGCAAGTCCCTGGCCCTCTGCACGACCCTCTCCAACCGCTGCACGAGCGCATCCACCGTCTCCACCCCGGCCGGCGCTTTCTCGCCCACCCGCCCCTCAATCATCTCCAACCCCCGAGTGACAAACACCTTACTCCCGCCCGCCGCATCGCTCACCAGCTCGTAGAACTGCGCCAGATCCACGCCCAGAAACCGTGCAAACGCGATCGCCTCCGCCGCCGCCACCAGGTTCACCGCGGCCATCAGATCGAGCACCAGCCGCGTCCGCTCCTCCTGCTCCTCCGCGCTCAACGCAGACCCGTCCACCGCCGCCACGGGTCCCGCAAAGTACTGCCTCACCAGCGCCGCATCATCCTTGGCCCCGTCGCCCTGCAGCAGCGCCGCGAGATAGATCTGCTCCGCCGTCGCACAGAGCGGCGTCGGGAAGTGGTGTTCTCGTGCCGAGGTCGTGATAATGCCCTACACAGCAGTCGCAGTCAGCTTACCCCCGTCCGCAAAGCTTCTCCCCATCCCCGCCCCGGCCCCCGCCCCCGTCCCCACAACCACCCCACCAGAAACCCAAAGCAGGGGAAAAACATGAACATACCGCATCCTTCAAAATAATCGTCACAGCACTAACGCCCGGACTCCACTCCTTCTCACCCGCAAGAATCCTGGGCGACCGATTCTCATGCATCCACGTCCACGCACCCCCCGAAACAATCCGCTCCGCCGTGCGCGCCGCATCCAACCCCAGCCCAGCCGCCAGCCCCTGCGCCTCGCTCGCGCCCAGGATATGGATCGCCGCCAGCACCTGATGCACCATCTTCATGTTACTACCCGCGCCGATGCCGCCGGGCACCAGGTAGAGCTTGCGGGGGGCGCTGAGCGCCTCCAAGATGGGGGTGGCCGCCCTCAGCGCGGCGGGGTCGCCGCCGGCCATGATGGAGAGGGTGCCGGCTGCGGCGCGCAGGGCGCCGCCCGAGACCGGGGCGTCGACCACCAAGATATCGGGGCGGGTGGTGTGGATGGATTGCGCGAGGGTTTGGGCGGTTGTGGCCGGGATGGTGGACATGAGGATTAGGGTTGCGTTTGGCGGGAGGGCTTTTGTGGGTTGTTAGATTAGTGCGTAGCTAGCCTTTTGAGGCCAGAATTTGAGGGTGTGCAGGTTTTGGGAGGGGATAGTGGGAAGGGAAAGGGGGCAAGTACATACCCTGCACAATGCCCTCGTCTCCAAACAGAACGCTCTGGACTTGCGGCGCGGAGGCCACCATGCACACGTAGACGGATTTGTCTGCGGCGGAGGCGCGCAGCGAGGCGGCGGGGATGCCCCCCGCGGCTTGGAATCGGTCGATCGAGGCCGGGAAGACGTCGTAGCCATGCACGGCGTAGCCTTCGTGGACCAGGTGCGTGGCCATGCCGAAGCCCATGGCGCCGAGGCCGACGAACCCGATGGCTGGTTTGGACATTTTGGGCGAAGCGCAGGTGAAAATTGAAGACCAAAGAATTCAGACTTCGGTTGTGTAATATGGTATGATGCGATGCGTTGCGTTGCGACTTTTACTTATAAGAGGAGACTTGTTGTCGCAACGAAGTCCGAGAGAGGGGTCGGAGATGAGCCGATCAGATCATGCGGGGATGACATCAAAAGGGCAGATGTGCGACTTCGGGGCTTGACTATCTTGCCGATACCCCTCCGATACTGGGCCGACAAGGCCGAACTGCCAAGGTTGGGTCTCTTAAAGGGTCCATTTATGGCCTCTGCTTTAGACATTAAGCATAAGCCATACAAAACCTACTCACGCATCGATAACAAAACAGGCGACAGACCAAGGCTGACATACAGCTTGTTAGTGTAGTAGAAAGAGGCACCAAACCGCGAACCTATGCAGCCATCTTCGCCAGCATCTCCTCCCGCAGTCCCCAGCCCAGCGACATCGCAGCCCCCGGCCCCAACGCCGCCGTCGTGGCCGCCATCCCCAGAATCACCTTCCACCACGACAACGGGTATCCGTGCCGTTTCAGCTCCCGATACTTCAACCCCAGCCAGACAAATCCACTTGCCATGGCGAGGCTCTCGTCATATTTCATGAACCGTGCAATGCCCTCTGCAAAGCTGCCGACAGGCAATGTATAATCCCACAGGCCAGGCAGAATGACACTGGTCATGGATGAGTCTGCTGGGATGGAACGGCGAGCATACGTATAACTTAGTCCTGAGATGACGGCAAAGGACAGATAAATGCCACGAATATACCGCAGGGTCTTTCTCGAGTTACGCCGGGCCTCGATGGCTTCTTGTTCCTTGGATAACCCCTGGACTGAATCGGAGGCTATCTTGTCCAAAAGACGGAACGGAGCCTGGAGAAGTGGAACTACCACCGGAAATAGCTGCCAGATAGCATTGAAGTACCGGCGGTTCTGTAATTCCCGAGGAAGAAAATTCCCGAGTGTCGGGATGTAGTATGCCGTGAGCATAGTAGGCAGGAAGGTCGTCAGCATATCTGATCTGACCTCATGGCGACAGTGAACAAGCTTGCTCAAGGGTGTTCGTAGGTGCTCGATTATGTAGTAAATTGGAGCAATCTTCCCAATCCCTCTCAGTTGGAATGCTGCTCCCATAGTGATCGGACTGTAAGTTCATATGATCAGTGGCTTCTGTATCTGACTAGACTCAGGTCACTCACAAAAGAATCTCCATCCAGGAGTGGGCTCTTCGGCCGCTTTCTAGAAGCCAAATACCATAGATCGGACCAAGGTCCGCCATAAAAGACAGCATCTGCGCGTGTGACAAACCATCGGATCCACTGATAGACGGTAGGAAACAGGTCACTAGTGCTCCAAAAGTCTTATCCAACAACGGAATGTTGTAAAGAGGTTCGGCCAGCCTCAGAACCTCTCCACTGCTCGCAGTCCAGCTGCCGGACTGCAGGAGCGATCCCAACAAAGGACGGAGTCCTGCGAGCACGGAATCCATCGAGACATTGGCATAGGCGTAGCATACCACAAGCGGGGTGCAAGCCAGTGCTCTTTTCGCAAATGAGCCCCTCTCAATTTCTTTGGGGTCTTTCAAACAAGGCATGGTGCAGTTGAACGATGTTCCTGAACAGCGGAAGCAATATTTCATATTCGTTTTCTCATGCCAATGAAGTGGTGAAGGATGTTTGATGACTGGCATTTGACTTCAGTTAGGAAATTGGGCCCCAGACTTTATAGCAGTTTGCAACTACCAACTTGACCTTGAACCAAGTCATGCAATTCTCCGGATGGACTGGTGCCTTGTCAAGAGGATTCGTAGAGTCGGTGAGCTACACAATTGATCATCCTAGTCGCTACCGTAAAGGTTCTTGCCGGCGTGTGATCTGAAGTGCTGATCAGTCTTGGCCGTGATAACAGAAATCATCTCATTAATCGTTTAAACCCCGACCATTCTCCGACAAAGAGGTACTGCTGGGAAGGGGAAAGATGCCGTACAGCTGGACCCGGGATGTTTGCGCGAACTCCGGGATCGCCGAGCGGTTGAAAGATCGATCAACTCCATCGTGTCAGCCCCGCAGCCAATTTGCAAGAATTTCCAAAAAGTTTTCGGGTGAGCAAACTCGTGTGTCATGTGCTATCCTATATCCTTCGAGGGCGTCATCTGCGCGTTGGCCTTGATATATGTATAGATGTCACTTGTCTGATGGCTGGGCCCTGTTGTTCGAGTTGATATTCTCCTTGAATCAGATCTAGAATGCACCGAGGTCGAATCCAACACCTGCATATACCTCGTCTGGCGGTCTCACTGTGCAGGTTGCCGTCTTCTGCAAGGCGTACAAATCCGTGTCTGCGCAAGTCAGTACAGCCGCGCCCTTTATTATGCTGCCATAATCCTCTCAAATTTCGAAAAGATTTCAAAGATCCGTCAATGCATAATGCAGAATATATATATGAAATTCCATTGGTAGAACTGACCACCGCGGCTAAGAAAATCAACATTCACAATTTACACCTATTGAAACATCCGACATGAGACCTCGAAAACGGAGGGAATAGAGCGCGAGCGAAAAGGAACTGGAAGAAAGAGAAGAAGGATGAAGAGAGGAAGGATTTGAAATAACACACGACTTAGGACAGAAAGGGAAAGAAGAAATCAAGCAGTTCTTTTCTTTTGTTCTTGGTCGTTTTCCTAGTGAGCAGCCATCATCTTCTTGATCTCGGCAATTGCCCGAGCAGGGTTCAGACCCTTGGGACAAGTCCGAGAGCAGTTGAGGATAGTGTGGCAACGGTAGACGCTCATGCTGTTGTCCAAGGCGGCCTTACGCTCAGCGGTCTTCTCGTCACGGGAATCGGCCATCCAACGGTAGGACTGCATCAGGATGGCGGGACCGAGGTACTCCTCGCTGTTCCACCAGTAAGAGGGGCAAGAGGTCGAGCAGCAGGCGCACAGGATACATTCGTAAAGACCGTCGAGCTTCTTACGCTCCTCCGGGCTTTGGCGGTACTCGAGACCCTGCGTTCACCACGTTAGTACCAGTTCACCCCATTCGATGCGACGAGTACTTACATCCTCGGTGGGAGTATCACGCTGAAGGTAGGGCTTGATGGACTTGTATTGCTTGTAGAAGTAGGTCAAATCGGGAACCAAGTCCTTGACGACGTAGGTGTGAGGCAACGGGTAGATGCGAGAATCCTTGGCAGTATCGGTGGGAATGCGGCCTGTATATGAACAGTCAGCGACTCATACTCATGCAATTGCGGTCGCGAAAAGCGTCAGAGCATACACAAGCAAGCAAGAGTGTTGACACCATCGATGTTCATCGCACAGCTACCGCAGATACCCTCTCTGCAACTTCTCCGGAAAGTCAGGGTGGGGTCGATCTCGTTCTTGATACGGATGAGCGCATCGAGCATCATGGGACCGGTCTTGTTCAAATCCAACTCATAGGTCTGCATCTGGGGCTTCTCGGAGGGAGTGTCGGGGTTCCAGCGGTAGACCTGGAACTTCTTGATGCGAGGCTGCTCGGAGGGGGTGGGTTCCTGCACGGTCGACGTCTTAGACTCGGGGGTAACGCTGGTAGTGGCATGGCCGGTTGCGCTCACCTGGGCCACGGGATCAACGGTCGCATAAGAGCGGGCGAAGACAGCTGGGCGGAAGAGGGGCTTGGAAGCCGCGAAAAGGCGCGAAGTCGAGCGGAGAGCAGACATGGTGGGCGATCCTTCAATTTCAATCCGGAGGGATGGAGGATAGGAGGGAGGCGAAAAATGGGATAGACCCTGAAGGCACTGAGGCGGAAGGAGAAATGGACGGCGAGACGTCAACTGGATATTGCGAAGCGGAGAGGAGAGAGGTCCGTGGAAAGGCAGCCAGCCAGCGGCAATGACAAGGCAACGACCAAGAGAGGCACGAGGTGGATTGAAGTCGAAGACGATCGATGCTGGCGATGTTTTGTCGCCTTTGGAATCGGAAGGTAACCTCGGGTCTGACGGCCGGCAATTGGCTGACTCAGCACCTCAGAACCAATCAGGCAAAGGCTAATTGCAAGCGTCGGGGATACACGGCGAGGCTCTACAGTGCGGCTAGACTTAAGGGAATGTATTTCCCTGCGACGGCGAGTGAGGATGTGCTTGGTCCAACTCTTCTCTAGGAAAAGAAAAGAGGCCGACCTAGAAGCACTAATCACTTTTCTGGTCTTTACGTCTTTCTATTCCCCCGCATAATAGCTATCCCCAGCTCCCGTCGCGCAAGGGCAGGCCTCTTTTATGTAATCCGCTTTCCTGCGCCTGCACTGTCCCAAAGGAGGAACGGAGCCGAAAGCTTTTGCCGCCCTTGATGTCATGTGATGTATGTACATCTCACTCAGACAACAAGACTTACCCGCCAGGCTACCAGGCTACCAGGCATCATAATTGGTCTCAGGCACCAAGGCATTAAGGCTGGAACAACGAGGCAACTTATCCAGCTGAGCCCCGCGGGCGGAACTTGCGAGGAACTGGGAATGTAAGAAAGACATCGTCCACAAGTGCCGACACCAAGCTTCTTGACACGGTCAATATCTTTACCCAACCAGCGGTGAAGGCTTTATTAAAAAGACATCACGTTGCATTAGTCGGCAGTCCTCTACCGGCCATCACCGCCCCCCCTGTCTGAGGATGATGAGTTTAATTGAATGGTTGTTGATTTTGGGCTTGATGTCGAAGTTGTGCTGGCAAGATGGGATTTACCCAGTTCCTCAATCTCATGCATTCATTGCAAGTCGCAGTCTGATCTGTCTGTCTCCTATACCTATCGAGCTCACTTGCGTAGGACAATTTATATAACGCTCTTGGTCGAATTTGGGATCCCATCTCATGCCGCGAGATCCGATTAACAACCTCACCTTATACGTCGTATTCGCATTTCTTGAGTCTTCCCCTTTTTCATTTCTCGTCGCATTCAACCTGATCAGTCGGTGGAAATGGGTGTGGTCACCATCACATTAGCTGGACTTGGTATGGAGCATACCATCTCGACTTTTGCCAATACTTGAGCGATATGGAAGCACAAGTAGCTGTTCCTCACCTGGAAGACACTGCAGCTGCATATCATTGCCAAAATCGGAGGCAATTTGAGCAGCCTGCTCCTCTGCCATAGAGCGGGAAGGGACCAAATAAATTGCACCAAGAAGCCGGTCTCCTATAACTGCCATTTTATAGTTGTGACTGACGAACAAAATGGTCAGCCAATATCGCAGCTACGCCCCTCTGTTGCGGGCCCAGATGCTAACTTGCACAGTTCAGGAATCAACCGCTGCATAGGGATTGCGGAAAAGTTGCTGCATCTGGTCAAGGGCGCCAGCGGGAAATGAAAACAACTGAATATTCCACCCCTCTTCATCGCTCGTCAAGATACTGAGTAGCATTGACCATGCTTAAGGCCGAAGCCCGATGGTCCTACAGCCCTTAATCCACCGACTGTTTTCTGGTATATGAGCCTCTACTCCCGAGATGGTAATTCGACCGACCGTTGCTGGACGACAGAAACAAAATGTCTTTCATTGGTAGGCTTCTCGCACGTACAATCCGACCTCACCACGCCGTGCATATCTCATCAACCAGTCACCACATTACAAGAAGCTTAAACAGCTAAGGCTTTTGGTCTCAGATTAAGAGTTCACCTCCATTAGTTTATCTCCGCTGGCGTCCTGCAGCTAGATTTGAATGTAAGACACAGGTGGACGTCACCTCCATTTCTCATCAAGCACCGGATCTTCTTGGAAGACTTGGGAAGTTATCTCAAGTGGGGACTCTTGCCCTTAGTGGCACGAGTCAGAGACGTTGATGGGGTCAACTTGCCTTCCTTTACCAAGATAGCCATAATATCCGATTGATGGAGACACAACTCGTGTTCTGGAAGCGCTCGGAGCTACCCTTCTAGGAGGAAAGACGGGGTGCTGGCTTGCTGGTGCAATAAATCTTACGTTTCTTTTGGGTTCTGTTTTGTTTTGGAATTCTGGTCCCGCGATGTGGTGGGTCGAAAAAAAGGCCCACTTGCCTGTTGGCTGTGGACCGGCGGTTCAGCGTTCCTGAGTCTAACACTATGCAGATACGATCTAAAGATTCTTTTTCCGCAGTCAACAGCCATACTCTGCGATTGACATGGGGAACAACCTTGCAACTGGTTAACAAGGAGTCAGAACAAGATCTGAGACTCCTTGATGGGTGAGGCTGTGAGACACAGGAGGCTTCCGGTCCGGCTCCGCGTTACATCCGAATCCGACAGCCCTAACCCACCCGCCGGAGGTGCGCAAGTCGAGCTTCCATTCTTCTCAATATCCTCATCTTTCTGCAGTCCTGCAGTCATATGGCCATCAATATCATGGATCCCCCGGCCAAGACGGAACAATTACCCTGTCTACGTGTACAGGTAGCATCCGACCTCCGCCCTTTGCCACGGCGTGATTTTTACTTTAGACTACAGGGACTAAATAGCAGCGGCGTGATAATCATGAAACATCGTAAATCACCCGGGATGCTCCACAGTCTAACGTTCCCATCGCGCCAGTTCCCATCTGCTACCGGCCGCCCCTTGACGGTGGATCGCCGTGTTCATGGGCTATGAACCAGGAGGTTCTCTCTGTGGTGATGGGCAAACCATGTGGCTGCTGCTGCTTATCATTTCCCATTTTGAACCAGCCCATGGCCTGGTCCGTTCAACTCTTCCAGAACTCTGTGATTCCATGGCAAGGCCTCGGTCACTCCTCCGACGCCAAGTCTGGGACTGATCAAGAAGAATTGACGCATTTGTGCAAGAGCCCTTAGCTTCTAATCAAAAATGGCCGTGGGCGTTTCATCCCGATCACCCGTTCAATTTCATTCGATATCGCGACTCTGCTCCATCAGATTGGAGATGGTGGCTTTCTCCTCATGATTCCCGGAAATCCAGCTATATAAGTCCGCTGGAATACCCCTCCTCCATCAGGTTTCTTTTCTCTCTCATCCCACTCTTTCCCTCTTTCTCTCCCTCTTTCACCTCAGTCCTTCTTTCTCAGTCTTTCCTTTTTTCTATTCAGATAGCTGGTTTTCTATCTCTGTTCTCTGTCCTTCCATCCACCATGAAGTACACTGCTCTTTTCAGCGCTGCTGTCGCTGGACTTGTCGGCTCCGCCGCTGCTGTCGGTGTCTCCGGCTCTGCGGAGGGTTTCGCCAAGGGCGTTACTGGAGGAGGTTCCGCTACTCCCGTCTATCCCTCCACCACCGACGAGCTGGTCTCCTACCTTGGTGACAGCGAGGCCCGTGTCATCATCCTCGAGAAGACCTTCGACTTCACCGGCACTGAGGGCACTACCACCGCCACTGGATGTGCTCCGTGGGGCACTGCAAGTGCATGCCAGGTCGCTATTAACCAGAACGACTGGTGCACTAACTACGAGCCTGATGCTCCCTCCGTCTCCGTGAGCTAGTAAGTGATCCTGCTCTTCCCGCCATTTGGCCGCCTTGATAGAGCATCGTTCTGACTCTTGTCCCTCTCTAGCGACAACGCTGGTGTCCTCGGTATCACCGTTGGCTCCAACAAGTCCATTGTTGGTGTCGGTAGCACTGGTATCATCAAGGGCAAGGGTCTCCGTCTTGTCAGCGGTACTGAGAACGTTATCATCCAGTATGTTTCCATTCATACAATCCGAGATAGGTGAATTGCTCTAATAATACATTTCAGGAACATCGCCATCACCGACATCAACGAAAAGTACGTCTGGGGTGGTGATGCTATCACTCTCGATGATGTCGATATGGTCTGGATTGATCACGTGACCACCGCTCGCATTGGCCGCCAGCACATCGTCCTTGGAACTGATGCCGACAACCGCGTCTCTATCACCAACAACTACATTGACGGTCTCACTGATTACTCTGCTACTTGTGATGGTTACACATACTGGGGAATTTATCTCGATGGATCCAGCGACATGGTCACCCTGAAGGGCAACTACATCTACCACACCAGCGGTCGTTCCCCCAAGGTTGGAGGAAACACCCTCGTCCACGCCGTAAGTCACATTCTTTTCCCCCCCCCTTTGGGCCATCACCGGCATATTCTCGGTTATTTGTAGATCTTGCGGTTAACCAATGGCAGGTCAACAACTACTGGTACGACAACACCGGCCACGCCTTCGAGGTCATGTCCGGTGCCTACATCCTTGCTGAGGGTAACGTCTTCCAGAACGTTGACACCATTGTCGAGACCCCCGTCGATGGCCAGATGTTCTCTGTCCCCTCCACCTCCTCCGGATCTTCCTGCACTGCCTCCCTTGGCCGTGCCTGTGTCATCAACGGTTTCGGCAGCTCTGGCACTCTCGACGAGACCGACACTGCCTTCCTCACCAACTTCGCCGGCAAGAACATTGCCAGTGCTTCCGCTTACACCACCGTCGCCTCCAGCGTTACCGCCAACGCTGGTCAGGGCAAGCTGTAAAGGAGAAGCTAACTGGGTTTCTCTTCTTGCTACGGTGACGTTGGGTTCATGCTTAGGGGGGTTGGAATGGTAGTAGCTGATGACGCTGCTTCGAGGAAAGAAACGTTTACCTTTCATGTAATTAATTCTCTTCATATATAGGAGACTCGAATTCCGGCTCTATGTTGGGATTTGATTCGACGATCTAATCCACTTCGTGAAGGATGTTACATTAGGCCTTGCTATAGGTATTTGCCAGTAAACGTAGCTCAGAACTGACGAAGGTCCTACTAGGAAGTAAAAACGTTGATCGACTTAGTGAGACTAGAAGAAGAACCTTGACACTGCAGAGGTCCGTCTAGAAAGGGCCTTGCCTGCTAGGGCTACGCTTCTTGTCGGCGGCTCTAAGCCCTCGATAGTTAAGCTGCTCACCGCCCGCCACAGCCCATGTTGATACATCGTAGTTCCTCGCTCAGATAGCCTCACGTAGCTGAAAATATCACT